TTATGATCCACACAGTCAAACGCCTTTGCATAGTCAGTGAAACACAGATAGATATTCTTCTGGTATTCTCTGCTTTCAGCTAAGATCCATCTAACATCAACTACAATATCCGTATTACCACGACCCTTTCTAAATCTAGCCTGGACTTCTGACAGTTCTCTGATGATGTGCTGTTCCAGTCGTTTTTGTATAATCTTCAGTAGAATCTTGCTTGCATGTGAAATCAATGATATTGTTCTATAGTTTCCATACTCTATTGGGTCACCTTTCTTTGGAATGGGAACAGATATAGATCTCTTGCAGTTAGTTGGCCAAGTGGTTGTTCTCCAGGTTTCTTGGCACAGCTTGGTGAGCACATCCAGGGCAGTATCTGTTAGCTGAAATATGTCAATTGGTATACCATCTATTCTTGGGGACTTATTTTTTGCTATTTTCTTCAAAGCAACATTTCAACTTTTACAGTCTGAGATAGATCGAACATGCAGTCAAGATGCATTGATAATAATAGGTGACTGGAATGCAAAAGATGGGAATAGAGAAGAAGATTCAGTAGTTGGAAAACATGGACTCGGTGACAGAAATGGTGCTGGAGAGAGGATGATAGAATTTTGCACGATCAATGACGTATTCATCGCAAATACATTTTTTAAGAGACATAAACACAGGTTATATACATGAATTTCACCTGATGGTGTGCATAGGAATCAGATTGATTACATCTGCAGAAAGAACCGCTGGAGAAGTTCAGTTATCAGCTGTGAAAACTAGGCAAGGAGCTGATTGTGGAACAGACCACCAACTACTCATATGCAAATTCAAGCTTAAGTAGAGGAAAATTAAACCAAGTCCATGGGAACCAAAATACGACTTTGAGTCTGTCCCACCAGAATTTCAGATCCAGTTCAGGAACAGGTTTGAGGCCTTGAACACTAATGAGCAAAGACCAGAGGAGTTGTGGGAGGATAGCAAGGGTATCATCTAGGAAGAGTGCAAACGGTTACTGCAAAGACAGAAGAGTAAGAGAAGACCAAAATGGATGTCAGAAGAGACTGTGAAAATTGCACGAGCACAGAGAAGCCAAAGCAGAGGGAAGAATTCAAGATAATAAAGAATTGAATAGAAGATTTCAAAAGGCAGCACGGGATGACAAAGCAAAATATTACAATGAAATGTGCAATGAGTTGGAGTCAGAAAATCAAAAGGGCTGAACTTGTTCAGCGTGCTTTAAAATATACATCATAAAGAATACAAGGTAGAGGGCCAAAGAAAGAGAGAGAGACTCTCAGCAAGATGAATTGTCACAGTAACTGTACCAGTGCGCTTGAGCCTTATCAGAGATGGCACAGGATAGGATAAGATTCAGATCAGTTGTTCATAGGGTCAACAAAGAGTTGTAGTCAATTTGATGACACATGACAACAATAAATTTTGTAAAATATTAAAAAATATATGTAAATATATGTAAAGATAATTACTTGACAAGTTTTACCTTATAAAAAAAGTTATTTGAAAAACATTCTCTGAGTGGCAAGGGAAATTTTAAATACTTGGGATTTAATTTCAGCCAGTCTTGAGAGTGCCAGGACTATATGGCATTGTCCTGTTTTTCCAGATTTTCTTATTTCCTAACACTGACAGGATTATAGTCTGAGCCTTTTTCTTTTGCTCTTAGTGGAAGATATACTTTCCTTCTCTGATAGTTTTCTACCTTACACAGATTCTTTCAGAAATTTTAGTATATTTATAAATTTCAACATTAAAAAATAGATTTGAGGTAGACTTTGCTTACCATAGTTTTCCACAAGTTTACTTGGTTGCTTAATATTGTATGGATAGTGTTTTCTACATTAAAAAAATGTAATCATCTATAGAGTAAATTGGTATAGATGGAGAAGAGATTGTTAACAATTTTAGCTTGCTCAGCTCCACCATCAACACTCTTGCCACCAGCATTCAGGGAATCAAAAGATGAATTGCATTGGGGAAATCTGCTGTCAGACCTCTGTAGGGTACTAAGGAGCAATGATGTCAGTTTAAAGACTAAGGTGTGCCTGATCCAGGTCATGGTCTTCACAATTGTTTCCTATGCATCTGAAAGCTGGACATTGACTGAATGACAGAACTGATGCCTTTGAATTGTGGTGCTAGAGAAGAGTATTGAACATACCATAGACTGCCAGTAAAACAAATAGGTCTGTCCTGGAGAGAGTGAAAAGAAGTTTCTCCTTGGAGGCAAGCATTTTGAAGCTCCATCTCACATACTTTGAGCATGTGGCCAGGAAGGAGCAGTTCAGGTGGAGGGGACAGCACAGGAGAAGACGACCCCTGATGAGATGAATTGATACAGTAACTGGGACAAGATTAAATTTGTCAGAATCAGTGAGACTGGCTAAGGATAGGGCAGGGTTTAGGGATGTTGTCCATGGTATTGCTGTGAGTTGCAGGCAACTTGACAGCACGTAACAACAACAACAACGAGTAAATGAAAAAGTTTAAAATGTCAGTTTCATAATTATTAATCATAAAATGTAATTTTGTAAAGATCATCTCAGTTAATTACTGTTGAATTGGAACCAACTGATAACTGGCACGCCATTAGGTTTCCAACACTGTAGATTGCATGGGAAGAGATTGCACATCTTTTTCTCTCCTCCTTGCTGGAGAATTACTGATGGTATAGTGGTAAACATCTGTGTTGCAATCTCAAAACAGTGTGGTTCGAATCTCCCCACTGCCCCACAGGAGGCAGATGAGCAGTGTCCTCCTGTGTGATTCATTGTCTCTGAAAACCTACTGGGAGGTCAGCTGTGAGTCAGTTCCAGCTTGAAGGCACACAACAACAGCCATGGGTGGAAAGGAACTATGGTTAGTAACACACATAGATGACAACAGACTATGCCAGCAGGACTCCAAAAAGGATTGTAGGAAGTGTTTTTAATTGAACATACTGGATGGGCAGTCTCCACCCCCTGATTAACTGCCTCTGAAAACCTGCCAGAAGGTCAGCTATGGGCCAGTTCCAGCTCGATGGTACACAACAAAAATAATGTAAAAAGAAAAGAGGGGGGGAGAATATATAAAATAAAGTATAAAAATTATTTTGTCCAGAGAAGTGTCATTACCTTGGTATTAAAGATGAATATATCCAAGGAAGTAGTAAAAATACATGAATGTTCTAAGGATAATTACTCTGCTTATGGTACATTGATCTAATTTAAAAGTCTATTTATATATTAAAGCAAATTTGACAGTAGATACTTATTTTTTAATAATACCATTTTAATTACCCTCATTTTCAATAGTAACTTACTATATGCAATAAGTTATATTTCTAAAAATTAATTTTAAGGATATAAAGTATAAAGAAAATCTTCTAGTTTCTTAGGTTAAATACACATTATGGCAATGAGAAAAATAAGACAGTGAGCAAGCCATTTCTTTATCTGACTTATTTCAGTAGTGGATTCTAATTATATATGTACTTTTAGAATTAACCTAATTCTATATGCTCCTTCTGCCTTTGAGAAAACTAATGGTTAAATGTGTTTTCTTTTTCCCCGGTAAATTAATGACACAGTCCAGTATATCACACTTTTTTTAAGCTGATCTTTAGTTGTGTTCTTCATTTAGTGAATATTTTGCTAATTGCCTTTAAAAAATGAATCATAGAATTTTCTTGTCTGTAGTTCCACCAACATAGTCTATAAATTAGCAAATGCAGTTGTTGGTAACCAAGTTCACAATAGCTCTATTAACATTTTCACTTTTGTTTTATATAATTCTACTTTAATAACTAGGTTAATGCTTTTTAAATACCTTGCTGCCAGAAGAAGGTTTCTTTCTATCCAAATCAATTATCTTAACCAATTACTATTGTAAAAGAGTTTACCACACCATTCCTGTACTTTGACTTATTGTTCTAAAAGTGGCAGTAGCGCTGCCTAACTTGGGTTTGTTTTCATTTTTCCTAATGTCTATAAAGTGTTGTAAATGATTTATTATTTCTTAGTTTATTTTTCTCATGAATCGTGAATCCTACTTAACTTATAGTAACAATTGTATGTTTGTAACCCTGTAAATTAAAACTATACTTTCCAAAAAAAAAAAAACCAAAAAAAAACTATACTTTCCAATAAAATAACTGTAGCTTAAAATACAAATCTACTATTTTGTTAACATTTCAAATTTTGTTTAATTATTAAGATTATCTCAATGTGTATTAATGTAGCACAGTCAAAAATTGAATTAGGAAATCTTATTATGGTGTAAAAGCTATTATAATAAGTTGTTCTCTTACATAAATAAATGAATGACCAATATTACTGGAGGCTATAAGCAGCATAGGAGGAAAAATGGAAGGAGTCTTTTATCCTGGTTTTTAGAGGGCATCAGCAGCTTGCTTTTATGAAAAAGTAACAGCTAAATGCACTGCAAATAATTTGCAGTAATCCAGTTCAGTGATTCATGTGTCTGCTTTAATGGGTCATAATTCAGGGTAAAGTAACTGAGTGCAGTCAGAGTGCAGACACTGCTTATGCCAGGGACAGTATCTCTTCATAAAACACACCTCAGGAGAAGCAGTTTGCCAGCCCTCTAATACTCTCTGATGTTTTGATGTCCTGCATATTTTTCCGATTAAGTTTTGAGTGCCATGTTTTTAGTTGTATTTCCACATTCATTATTCTCACGCAGACCCTTCAGCGGGTTTGCCATATATGATTATTTTTTTAATGATGCCTTTCTTTCCACTTCAGCAGTTTAATAATCTAGCACATGGCTGCTTCTCAGTACTCAGCATTCACCTCCCCAGTACAGAAGAGGACATGTGCTTTGGCGTCAAAATTCCATTTGCCGCGTTAAGAATGCATATTCCCTACGGAACAACATTTGTTTGACATAACCATTCATTTTTATTACCTCTTTAAATATGTTTATCCAGAGTTATCAATAATCATAAATAACTGTATTCTCATCTTGTTCTGAATTTTTTTTTCCAACAGACAAAATTGCTTACCCAGTACATATTAAATCTCGGCAAGTATGATCAAAACTACGACATCAGAGACCGTACAAGATTTATTAGGCAGCTTATTGTTCCGAATGAGAAGAGTGGAGCTTTAAGTAAATATGCCAAAAAAATATTCTTAGCACAAAAACCTGCTCCGTTACTTGAGTCTCCTTTTAAAGGTATTATTGTCAAAATATAACTGCAAAATCTGTTAACTAAAAAATGATAGTGTTGTGTTTCAATCCTAGAATGTTTAAAATTTTCCTAAGAAAATAGTATTATCTTATGTTAATATGTAAAACCAGTGTGTTTTCTACCTATATCTCACCCCAGCAAGGTCTGTATCAGGTTTATGTTTCTATTTTTATATACATAATTTACCTAAATAATGTTCAGCTTTTTGACTGTATTTGTCTTCATACTAAAGAATTAAAGCTGTGTTTTTTTAGTCACTGGTCTCATTTCTATTGTAAATAGACTTCTTTAATTCTTTTAAGTAAGGATTCCTTTTAATAGAAGGTCATTAAAGATTCTCTTTATACTAACAAATATTCCTACATGAAATTATTCTTAAAAATACCTTTTATGTTTTAAAAAAACACAAGACTTGTTCTTCATAGGTCTTAAAAAGAAATAATTAAATATTTCATCAGTTTAAAAACTGGCCATTCCCTATGGACTTAAATTATTATAGACTAGATTGTAGTATTATTTCTCATTTAATTGTTGGAAAGTATATTTTCTAAAAGGCAGTTCACTTTTGTCAAAAAACTATTAAAATTCTGGATGTGTTTGTACCAAGACATGTATATGGATTGTTTTACTGTGCTGTCATTCTTAATATTCACAGTAAAGTAATTTTTAGAGAAGCTACATTTCAGAGCAACACCTCTAAACACACTGACTGATTAGCTTTTTTATTGACCATTATGGGGGAGATTATTGTAATCTATGGACTGAAATCAGTTTTTTGACCTATGAAGAGCTTCCTGGTTTATATTTATTCCTTGACATTTGAGGTAATATGCCAATTACCTAGAGCTCTGATTAGGATTGTTCTATGTTATATACAGCTCATATTGTTTATTTTATATTTTCCTCTATTTTTAATAGACAGGGATCATTTCCAGCTTGGCACCTTGTCTCATACTCTCAATACCAAAGCTACTGGGTACTTGGAATTATCTAATTGGCCAGAGGTGGCGCCCGACCCATCAGTTCGAAATGTAGAAGTGATAGAGTTGGTAAGTTGACCTTTCTGAAATTAATTTTGTTCAAGCAGTGAGAGACTCTAGGATAAATATTGTTTTATATAAAAGCTTTTTGGGGGGGGTTGAAAATTGAAACTTGTTCTGGTATGTCTAAATGTAATGTGTTAGATATATCTTGCCTCTATAAAAACTAAATATGATAGTGTTCCTATGTCATTGTACATGTACTGTTCCTTTTTTCCAAGGAAATAGAGAATTGAGTTCTCTGCATCATTGGTACCCACATTTGTGGTATTGCATTTGTAGCTGTGTAGATTCAGTTTCTGAGGTATTTAGTTTCATTAGATTGAGCTCTTTCTTCTTTTATTTAGAGATTTGTGAGCTTCCTGTCAATATTTTTCTAAATAATTTTTGCTGTTCTCTTCTAGATGAATCATAGAAATGTTTTCTCTGGATTTTTTTAAGCCTGGACATAAACAGTGAGCATTCTGTACCAAGAATGTCCTCAGACATGGTTATGTTTAGAAGTAATAATATGTTGCTATTTTGCAAAAGTTTAAGGTTTTTTATTATTTATAATTATATAAAAATGAATGATGACAGAGGTAAATAATAAAAAAGAAACCAATAAAACACAATTTGAAAAGTATAGTAAATTTCAATATTAAAGGGGAAAAAAACCCAAACTGTTTATATAAATACTTTCTTTTAGATCTTTAAAACATGCTGATAGGGCAAAAGAATTACTATTCTGCCCTAATACCTGTCTTAAACAGACAGATTAAATGAAGAGAGGGGCCTTCTGATTGTTTTTGAAGATTGATTATGAAAATTAAACCAGTGATTTTAAATAAAATTAATTTATAGTAAAGAACAATGAGATCGTATAGGCAAAATCTTTTTCTAATAGAAAATAAATTTTGAGCTAGGATTCAGATAAACAAGGTGTTTCAGGTTCTTCTAGAAAAGCCCTTTAACCTCTTTGCCTTTTTTCTGTATATAATGGAAGAGTATTTATTATTTTAAAGAATAGTGTACTATGATAGTGTTATACAGGCATTGTATACTATTTAAATTTCATAATGATCATACATGATGGCTGTGCTATTCTCATTTTGCACAAAAGGAAACAGAGGCTCATAGATTTTACTTGCCTAAATTCACATACCTAGTAAGTGGTAGACCTGGGATTCAAACCTGTGTCTGAATCCAGTATACTCATATGCTATATGGTATGTATTATGTATTATGGTATGTATTATGTATTATGAAATGTGAGGAAAGGAAGATTCTACTTTCTTGCAATAATTCTTTGTAAATTTGTGCTCTCCTTTACTTCTACATCACCATCATTTTCGTGTTGTAACAAATGACTTAGAGATTGCTAAAAAATATGTAAAAATTTTGTCCAATTAGTATTTAAACTTCTGTTTCAATATAATAGACATTGAAGTAAGAAAACCCTTATCTCAAAATTAGCAGTTCTTTTACCATATTCATAGTTATGATATTTGGTCATGATAACTAGTATTGAACACACTTTAGGTAATTTATAAACTTTCAGTCAGTTCTTCAAATTAGTTACATGCGTATTCTTCCTTGCAACTAAATTTATTGATTTTCACTTAGAGCTTTTTTAAAAAACTTTATATATTTATTTAACTTTTAGTTAGAGGATTAGAATACAGAGAACAATGTACTTTTCACAAATATACACACTCCCCTAATTTTTTCTTAATAAAGATGCCTGTTTGCTGTCTTTGATGTTGTTGCTTTTCATTGTTGGGTACATAATGTTTTGGCCTAAGTAGAATCTTCCTTTTATTCTACACTCGTGCACGTGTTCACACATGTGCATCTCATCCCTCGTCGCCGTAATCCCACTTCACAAAAAAAGATTTGTCTTCTTGGAAATTGATAGAATTGCCGAGAGATTTAAATTGGCTGATAAATTGGTTGGTTGGCTGGCTTCTTCCATTTTCATGTGTTTTCTCTTCTAGGCATTAGCTGCCTTATAGGTACACTGCTTAAATAACCGATTTTCTTATGTTCATTTTACCTGTCTAGTTTAACAGAATCAAATTGATTTCTTTTTCACTTTGCTGACAACTTCCCTGAAATTAATAATTAGTAACCTATTATAAAGCATAATTAAAGTTGATGGGAACCAGTTCAAGGGAACTGACACTGTCTGTAGATGCTATACAGAAAACAGCTTCAATCTATTAGTCTCTGAGGCATATTGGCTTAAAATTGTATGAAGAAGGATATAATTACACTTAAAAATAATGGATGTACTTTTTTTAATGCACCTGCAATATTACAGAAAGGAGTGTACATGTTCTTTATCTTGCCTTTCACTTTACCTCATCCCCCTCCAGAATCACATTAGTTTATTTCATACATACATTGTGTTATTCTGTTCTACTTGAAAGTGATTTTATACTGTAAAATTTTGTTACTATGAAATGTAACTTCATAATAAAAAATAACCCATGTTTAGATAACCCAGTATTGTAATCAGAACAATGGGAGCCCTAGCCAGATTGACCTTTGGCATCACTTTGAATTGCATACTACCTTTCTAGGATACCAGATAGAATGCATGTTTGTATTAAGATACCATAGTAAGTTTTGAAGATCCTTTAGCATTCTTTTGCTTGGTTCTGAACGCTCCTTTTCTGTTACAGAAAATATTAGTCATTGCATTTCAGAATCTATTTTGCTTTGCAAACACACTTGCTATCCATATTTATTCTTCTTAAGAATTTTCAAATTAGTCCCTCCCAATTCTTTTGTTTTCTCTTTTACGCTTTTTTTTGCGTGTTAGACTGACACAATTATCATAGTCATAGAAGCTCATATAAGAATAAAAGTACTACTTAAGACCTGAAACTCCATGAATATAGTCTATTAAGAAATATGGGTCTATTAAGAAAATATGCCCCTTTGTGAATAGAAGCCTAATTTTCCTAATTTGTTACACCAAAGGCCAAATTATTAAATGAATTTTTCTATAAATTGAGCTTATAAACTTTTTAGCAGATTCTTTGGGGGAAATTTGGCTTTAAGAAAAAAATACTAGCTTAGTATTTTCTAACTTGTCAATATGATACCTCTATATATAGTTAAATTGTTGAGGAGAAGTGATGTCAGTTGTAGACTAAAGTGCATCTATTTAATGTCACAGTCTTTCCAGTCACTTGCTTTGTTGTTGATTGTATTTGGAGAGGTCATTGTTCTCTTGGTGCAACACTTGTCTGTAGGTTGCTATGCTATTGATTGTGTTTGTAGAGAACATTGTTCTCTTGATGCAGCACTTGTCTGTCATTTTGCTGTACTGCATTACTTGGGGTTAATGTGATACTGAAATAAATATATATATATATATATATACTCTTGCAGAGGCTGCCAAATAGCAAAAACACAATTAAAAGTCTGTTAAATAAACTGAGAGCAAGTTGCACTGCTAAAAAAATGAAATAAATTGTTCTTGTGTACTGCCAAAACTAGTTTTAAATTTGAGGAATCCTTAGATAGGAATGAATAAGCACTCAACCTCAGCCAAAAAATTGGTGGTTCAGATTTACCCTGAGGCATGTCAGAAGAAAACCTTTGTTATCTTGTAGAAGGTCACAGCCTTGTATACCCTGTAATTCTGTAATCTTAATCTGGGATTACTATGAGTTGAAACTGATTTAATGACAGCTGACAATAATTTTTTATTTTTAAAAATATGTATAGTTCCCTGGTGTTTAAAAATAGTACAAGAAAGATGATAAGATATTTTCCTGGTGAATTGAGGTCATAATTATTAAAATCCTTTCTTTTGCTTTAGTACAACTGATGGGCTGTATTTACTTTGTTACACTGTAAGTGACTATGTATAGAATGAATGCTTAATGCAACGGATAGGCTTAGATCTGTCTCCATGCACAAAGTATTAACACATCCTTACTTTTCAAAAGTTTATATTCCAGCAGAGGTAGACCAATAATGAAAATGCAAAAATAAATTATATTTAAAAAAATAAATTATATAGTATAAAGGAAAGTAAATGCAGCACTGATGGTATAGTTAGCACTTATTAGCAAGTGCCATGAGAGAAAATATTTTAAAAAGATAGAACTAAGTAACATTAGAATTGCTAAGTTTCTAAAATGGAATGTTCAATTTGCAAATTAGAATTTTTCTTTGAGGCAAGATTTGTGCCAGCATGGAGGACATGAATGAGCCATTCATCTGTTCTCTAGGGATAGGGCATTTCAGGTCAGGACAACTGAGTGGAAAGTGCTAAGGTGGGAACATTAAGGAGTGGCTGGAGCAGGGGATACAAGAGGGAGCTAAAGAGATCATCTGGATCCTGGTCATAAAGCGCCATGAAGATTGCTGGACTCTGACTCCTCTCAGTGTCAGGAGCACCAGTCACATGGTTTCAAGCATATTTTCAAAAGGGAATTTGATCAGACTTAGAATTTAATAGAATAATTCTAGCTGCTGGGTTGAGAATGCTTGAGTATAGAGGCAAAGCAACTGGAGACTGTTCAGTTCTCCGAGAGAATGGATGCTCAGGACAGGTGGGATTCCTGTAAGATCAGATATTTACAATATGAAAGAACGAGAAGTCAAGCAGGAACCCAAGGTTTTCCTTGTTGAGATGTTTAGGACTTTTTATAGCCTGCCTGGTGGGTTAAAACTACCAATTATTTGGTTAACAGTCAAGTCCATAAACTCTTTGTCACCAGAATACCTTATTTATTACATATGCCGACATTTTTTTTTCTCTTTTATCTCCTGGCTATCAACTTTCATGTCTGCTACTATTATTGGAGCTACTTGTAATTCTTTTCTCTTCACCTAGGTTGTGTCACTTTTGTCTAAATTTTCTGTTGCTCAGCAGACAGAAAAGTCTTTCTAAAACTTGTAGACACGTAAATTTGTGGTAGCAGCATAATGAATTCTAAGTGAGAACTTCGATTCTTCTATTTAGAAAGTCAATGAGTCTTCTTACCATAGTCTTATTCTTTGCTGTAATAGATAGAGACATATATACACTATACACATGTGTATATATATATATTTACAATTGTATATATAAATATACATTTATATATATAAATATGTAAATATATATATTTACATACGTGAAGCCTGATGCAGTAATTATACTTAAAATCAATAAATGGCTCAAGATAGATCTATATGTATCTGTCTATCACAGCATTTACCGGCTCACCATTTTCAGGTATAAAATTTAACAACAACTATTAATGTATTCATAGTTGTATTCTGAAAGGTTAAGCTTGCATAAAACCTGAATCCTTTAATAAGGATACACGTTTATTTTTATATTTTCATTTTTAAAAATACAGGCCAAAGAATGGACACCAGCAGGAAAAACAAAGAAAGAGAATCCTGGTAAAAAATTTTATTCTGAGTCTGAAGAAGAAGACGGATCTTCTGACAGCAGCAGTGACAGTGGTGGGTGTCATAATTTATTGTAATAGCTTATTATGTACTATACTGTGGCTTACATGTGTCCCTTCAGAGAAACTGCAAAGCCTCGTACTTAATATTCTATATGTGGTTTTATATGAAGTTAGTGCAATTAAAATAATTAATTTTGTTTACATACCACTTTTTTAATTTTCAAAATAATTTCTAATCCCATCTTTGACTTTGTCTCTTGGGAACATAGCTAATGCATGGTAGAGCTCATAAATGAACCCATGTTTGTGAGTTCTACTCCACATTGCCTCTTACAAACATTGTTGTTAGGAACTGTCAAATGATTTCTGTAACAACGTGACACATATACAACAGCAGTAAGAGCTTCGCAGAAAACGCTGCCCAGTTCTGTGCCTTTCTCACGTTTTTTAGTTCATTACTGCAGCAGTAAATTTTCCTTTTTGTTGTTTAGCATAGTGAGCTCTGAGTGAGATTTTATGTTTATGATTAACTTTATATTACATATATTTCTATTATTCTCCTCCCTTGCAATTTGCAACCTCTGAAAACCTGCTGAGGGTCAGCTATGAGTTGGTTCTGATTTGATGGCAAATAACAAGTAGTAACCTCATTCTGTTCTATTTTATACCTAAAGATTTGTTCCTGAACCTGTACAGAAATAAAGCTAAAATTGAAATATCTTGTGTATTATAAAGATGGCAACAATTTACTTTGAAGAGAAGATGAAATAGGTCAGGTTTAGTATTCCAGGTTTTTATCTATGCAAGTTATATAGGCACTCACAATTTTAAAAAGTCTAACAAATCAGTCTGGAGACTAAGGTGTACAGGCCATGGTCTTTGCAATTATTTGCTATGCATCAGAGAGCTGGACAATGAATAGGGATGATAGAAGGAGAATTGGTGCCTTTGAGCTGTGGTGCTGGAGGAGCATATTGAATATACCATGGCCTGCTAGAAGAACAAACAAGTTCGTCCTGGAGAGGGTGAAAGCCAGACTGCTCCTTGGAGGCAAGGATTCTGAAACTTCTTCTGACATACTTTGAACATACATGCCATGCTTGGGAGGGTGGTAGGATTGTGCAAGAGAGGAAGACCCTCGATGAGATGGATTGATTCAGTGACTGGGGTAAGGGGATAGGTGTGCTGGAGACAATAAGATTGGCACAGGGTAGAGCAGGGTTTAGAGCTATTATGCATAGTGTCTCTGTAAGTCGCAGGGCGACTCGATGGCACGTAACAACAGCTTCTAATAATTACTAACAACTGACGTATAGATAGAGTTGATCCAAGAGGAATTGACACTCAGCTTCCTGTTTAAAATATTTCTTCCTCGGAGAACTAGATCCTTCATTATTATTTAGTCATTATTTGTGTCACTTAGAGGACTGTATCTTTTTCCACCTTTCTGCAATCAAACAAACCTTTGCTTTTGTGTCTGATAAACTAATCTGTAATGCATTACCTGCTGAAGTAATAAGCTAGGAAATAGAGAAAATGTCTCTCTCCAGAAAGTTGATTTAAAAAATTTAAAATCTTGGGAATAATATTGACCAGGAATGTAGAGTCAGCTGTATAGTTAAAGTGTACCTGTTTTCATATTATACTGTGAAAGTATTTGTTTCCATTTCATTCCTTTATAAGCTTGTAAAGGAGAGTCAACTATTTGGGGAAGGCCATGTCTGACCTTTACTAATGACAAAAAGGGAAACTTTTCTCAACCAGCAACATCCATAGGATAAAACTGATCCCTGTAAGGTCATACATTGCCCCCAACTCAGCTATATCTACTTGCAATTACTGGTTCGGAAATGTGTTACAAATAACCACACAGACTTTACAAAATATCTTTTTATTCCTAGTTGTGGGGATTAGTAGGGAAACAGATTGGGGCAGGGCTGTGAGGAGAAGCAAAGATATCACACAGTGAAAATCTAGATTCAGTAAATAGCAGTTGCAATCTAACTTGTCAGTCCACAGCAAGATACAATCCTCAAGCTTCTCACAGAGGCTGGTGTGGAAACCTCTGGGCCCAAAGATATGTGCTGCTTTCTCTGCTGTTTCTTTCCTGGTCTTGAGTATCCCCTCTCAGAGACTGTGACCCTGGCTCCCTCAGGATTCATTTTGTCAGTCTTGCCCCACTCTGGCTAGCTTCTTCACTTATGTTGGTCTCACAGTTGTTGATGATGTTGAAGATCCACAGTTGTGGAATCTGGAAACCATGCCCCCAGGGGAACTAAGGGTGGTGAGTGGATCTCAAAGATTCATTTTACCTGTATATTACCACCTGACTGTGTGATCAAGTCTAAGGCAATGGATAGAAAAGTCATTCTTAAAGGTTCTAACACCATATAAGCTCATTCCTGTTCATAGACTAAATTTTCTCAGTACATATTTTAAATATTTCTTTAACATTACAGCTTTCCACAATCTTTTCAAAATATCTATAATAGTGAGTCCGGTGCCAGCCTTTGACTGTAGCAACTAAGGGAAGGATGACTTTTTTCATTAAAAGTTATTAGAGATTTTATTTTCCAGTGAACAAGTCCTTTTGAGGTTAAACAGATTTTCTCAATATTTTTACTAACTTACAAATTTAAATAATGGTACCTAAAATTAATTTGGCCCAGATTCATGTTACACACTCATTTAGTAGCATGAGAGCACTCATTATTTAATTTTTAATGTTTTTGTTATAATTGTGTCTCAAAGGAAAAAAATGCAGTCATTACCATAGAGTCAGCATTGACTTGTAACTGAACCTCTAGTGGATTTTCAGAGGCTGTAAAACACATGTGTATCTTTCCCTCGTGGACACACCTGCTGATGCATTCTGTCTGGCAGAGCAGCATTGTCTGAGTTAGAAGCCTGTCTCCCTCAGGACACCACCACCAGAGTTCCCTTTTTATGAATTGTTCAAGCGCGTTACCTCAGTTAACATCTGTTTCTGAACAACTTTTATATTGTAACATATTTTTTTTAAAATGCCCTTATTTGACAGTTTGGGATTTTCTTTTGTCCAATTTGGGAAAAATATGGTTTATTCTTTGTAAAAGATGGTACCTAATGATGATGATGATGATGATAAATGCCTAACTGTGGAGGCACTATTTTAATCTTATTTTACATATTTCAGATTCTTTAGTCTTCAAAACAGCTCTATAAAATAAATACTACTATCTCCATTAGCCCAAAGAAAAGGGAGACTTAAAGAGGCTGAATAACTTGCTCATTCATAAAACTGGTGAGAGGCAGAACCAGGATTTGAACCCAAATACCAATGATTTTTGACCACCATATACTATTTCCTTCTAACTACAAGGTGTTTCACAAACATGTAGGCTATCTTTGTTTTTCACTGTGATGCATAAGTGAGTTGTAACAAAGTACGGATATTATTACCTTATTAGAATGTCTTAATTATAGATTATTGCTGCCTACTACTTAAAGTTGTGTCATCTGCATATCGCAGATTGTTGATAGATCTTCCACCAATCTTGGCCCCACATTCCTCCTCATAGAGCCCAGCCTCCCGGATAATCTGTTCTGCATACAGGTTGAAAAGGTATAGAGACAGGACACATCCCTGGCGTACGCCCTTCCCAATTTGGAACTATGCAGTGTTTCCTTGCTCTGTTCTGACGACTGCCTCTTGGTCCAAGTATAGGTTTCTTTTTAGCACGATCAAGTGTTCTGGGATTCCCATTCTTCTCAGAGTCAGCTACAGTTTGTTATGATCCACACAATCAAATGCCTTTGCATAGTCAATGAAACACAGATATACATTCCTCTGATAATCCCTGCTTTCAGCCAAGATCCATCTAACATCAGCAACGATATCCCTAGTACCACGACCCCTTCTAAACCCAGCCTGGACTTCTGGCAGTTCTCTGCTGTTATGTTGTTCCAGTCATTTTTGGATAGTCTTCAGTAGAATCTTGCATGTGAAATTAATGATACTGTTCTATAGTTTCCACACTCTGTTGGGTCACCCTTGTTTAGGATGGGAACAAATAAAGATCTCTTCCAGTCAGTTGGCCAAGTGGTTGTTCTCCAGATTTCTTGGCACAACTTGGTGAGCACATCCAGGGCAGCATTTGTTAGCTGAAATATGCTTTTGGGAAGGGAGGAGGACCTGAAGCGTTTGCTACAGAGGATCAAGGACTGCAGCCTCCAATATGGATTGAGGCTCAATATCAAGAAGACAAAGATTCTCACCACTGGGCCAATTGGCAGCATCAAGATGGATGGTGAAGAGATTGAGATTGTTCACAGCTTTAGTTTGCTTGTCTCCATAGTCAACACTTTCTGCAGTAGCCTGGAAATTAAAAGACGTATTGCGATGGGAAAGTCTGCTGTTAGGGACCTCTCCAAAGTACTGAAGAGCAATGATGTCTCTCTGGAGACTAAAGTGCATCTGATACAGGCCATGGTCTTTGCAATCACTTGTTATGCATCAGAGAGCTGACCAGTGACTAAGGAGGATAGAAGGAGAGTTGATGCCTTTGAGCTGTGGTGTTGGAGAACAGTATTGAGGGTACCATGGACTGCTAGGAAAACAAACAGCTTCATTCTTGAGAGGGTCAAACCAGGCGGCTCCTTGGAGGCAAGGAGTCTGAGCCTCCGTCTAACATACTTTGGACATGTTTTAAGGAGGGACCTGTCTTTGGAGAGGGACATCATGCTTGGGAGGGTGGAGGGACAGCACAGGAGGGGAAGGCCTCTATGAGGTGGATTGATTCAGTGACTGGGGCAATTGGGATGGGTGTATCAGAGATGGTGTGATTGGCACAGGACAGAGCAAAGTTGAGGGCTGTTGTACATAGGGTCGCTATGAGTCGCAAGCGACTCGACAGCACTTAACAACAACTACGTAAAGTAGATTTTGTGTAAAACAGTAGTTTGTCTTCTAATACAGAACACGACTGTCTACTTATAATCTCTTCAAATAGGAAAAAATACGCTTCATGTTCAAATGTATGTAAGTATGTGAATTGCATCTCCTGAAGGGACCTACTACTATAAGTTTTAAATAAAACATTTAAGTGTAACTTTTACTCATTTGATCCATCTAAAGCTCTGCTAACTAAAATAGATAATAAATGCTTAACAATTTGTGTTTTGCATTTGAAGTTTTTTAGAGCTGAGTTAATTGGCTTATTTCCCTTTCTGATTTTGTTCCTGAAAATGTTTTATGATTCCTTTTTTTTTATTTAAATAAACTTTCCTGGTTAAAGAAAAGGAATTCACAATGACTTCTTTGTCCTTGGGGAAAACAAATAAATCTCATAACTGGATAATTAGGATTGTAATAAGGACTCTTTGAATTTTGGCTCATTATTTTCCTTGTTATTATCAGAAGTCTCTGTGGTTCCTCTGTTGAATATTATCTCCAAGCTTATTGTACTGTAGGAATTTGAATGACTGGTATGAAATAAAAATTCTTAAATAAATGGGGTCCACCGAGTTAAAATGCAGCCTTTAGCTTCGTTTCTGATGAATAGTGATACTACCTTGTGTACTTAAGTGTTAGTGTTTTTACATACCCTCGAGTTGGCACTGGCTCATAGCTGACCCTGCAGTAGGTTTTCAGAGGCTGCAAATCACACAGAAGGGGATTGTCCATCATTTCATAAGTATTATTAATAAATTTAATAAATATTAGTTAATGGCTAAAATCCAAAGAACATCTCGTTATATTTTTTTAGAGAGTGAGTCTGGAAGTAAAAGTGGAGAACAAGATGAGGAAGAAGATAGTAGTGAAGACAGCAGTGAAGACTCTTCCAGTGAGAGTGAGAGTGGCAGTGAATCAGAAGAAAATACAGGAGCACCCAAGAAGAACTCTAAAAATAAAGAGAAAAGGTAAGTTACTATGTTAATTTCTTTTAAGAAAATAATGTTACTTTCCTCTAGACTGATAGTTTCTTTTAACACAGAATGAACACTGTATACTTTCGCAAACATATTAACTCTTCTAAAATTGAAACCCTAGTAGTTAACATTACCCTGTGCAATGCTTAGTTTTCATTTTGAACTTGAACAAACCTTACATTTGGAAAATTGCTATAACCTTGGAAGGCTGAGTTAAGTGATGGAGCAGTAGGTATGAAACACTTAATTACCTTTTGTAGCAATTTTGCTGAGGGCTAAAATTAAATCCTTCAACATCTTGCCATTATGTAACGAAGACAATTGATTTTTCTAAATAATGTTATATTAAAAAGATTATGATCCAAATATTAGAGTCAAGGGCTGTGAAGGAAAACGGTCATAAGATATTTAAGTGCTCGCGCATTTCAAGATCTCCCATTATCAACAACATTATCATGTATTAAAGTGTCATTAAAATGTTGAGTAATTGGGACTAATACCTTGGATTGTATGAATCTGCTTCTCCAGTGCTGTCAGTGAGTGGCCTCTGTAGACATGATGGCCGTTGCCTCAGGATCCTGCTGTCTGCTCACTTGATGAGCTTGCAGCTCGGCTCAGTCGTGGCTGACAGCACTGATTGGGGCGCAGTACGCTCTCTGCTCCTTTTATTACAGACAGTAATTAAAGCAGCTCGCCCTGCCACTTCCATAACAAACACAGCATAATGCCCTAATTATGACTTTATTAATTTAAGTCAGGATTTAATGATTTTAAAAGTGATTTATATTGTTTTTCCTGTTCAGAACAAATGAAATCTGTAGGTTAAATTAATACAGGCTTTTCATCATTGCAAAGTTAAAAAGCTAGTTACCAGTAAATTCTTTTCATTAGATTAACATCTGAAACTCTAAGCAGTAAGGTAAACAATAATTACCCATCAAAATTGAGTGATGCATAATAAAATAACACTTTTACTTTTAGAATTTTATCTTAAAAGCTAGAAGGTAAAACTATTCACTGTTGTGCACTTGTTGCAGCATAGGAGTTACTTGGTTTATAATCTGTTTTTCCTTCATCAGAAGTCTGTATTTTGGTTTTCTAGTATACATGATGGAGTGGTTTATAAAAAGTATCTTGGGTTCTTAGAAGGAAAGATTTTGTTCAGTGCATTAAATAGTTTTCAGATAGCAAAAGGTGGTATACTAGAAATTTAAAACCATGTGTTATTTTAGTTCCATTATCTTTTCCTTCAGAAATCATCTCTTTTAACTGACACTTGACTTGAAAAAATATGCTTGCTACATCAAAACGATCAACCCTTTCTAAACTTGATATATTTTTTTTTATTTTTTAGTTCTTTTTATTGGTGTGCTTACAATTATAAAGTTGATGTATTTTAAGTATATATTTTAACCAGTGAATTCGGATTAAAAAAATGCTTTTCTTTGATAGCAGAAAAAAAATCCAACATATTTTGTAGTCTTCAAATATAATTACATTAGCTTTTAGATGTTACCATGACTCCATATTTTATAAACAGCAATCATATTAACTTCACAAAAGTCAATTCTTGGAAATAGTGATTCTTTTCTTCTCTCACTACACTCCCTCCTCCCGTGATTCTGTGCCTGTCTCTTAGAATTTTTTTAACTTTACCAGTATAACGGTTGTGATAATTTTTTTTTTTTTTAGCTTACAAAACATTAGCATCTTACAGTCATTCTTTTAGTACTTGTAACTGTTTATGACATAGTTTAAAAGATTCTCTCTCTCTCTCTCTCTCTGTCATACACACACACACACACACACACACGCACACAGAATTTTTAATAAGACAGACTGGAGTTCAGATTTCAGTTCTTAAGCAAGTTACTTGATCTTCCTAAGTGTTAGTTTCATTATTGTAAATTTGATAATAATGAACCATCAACAAGATATTGTAATACTTAAATTGTTGCTATGAAGTACCCAGAACTGTCCAACATAAGATGTATACTTCAACAATTTGATTATAATACAATAGTGGTAAGAACTAGACCTTGAATTGTAGGAAACTGGAAAAACACCACAATAGATCTCTTTCCCTGCCTTCTATTTCTATTCCTCACTGTGTCTCTTCTTCCAGTAAGCATTCATGGTGCTTCTTCTAAATGCTGCAGTTGTCCACTTACTATTTATCTTCCTGTGCTGTCACTACTAGCTTACTTCTCTATATTCTCTAGTATACTGTGGCCTCTACAAGGTAGGTACACAGAGATTATCAATATCTTATCATTATTCTCCTGTTACCCTGCACACCTAACATACTTCTGACACCTGTTGTATAATCAATAATATTCCCTGAAGGAGTGGGTGAGTGAACCAATAAATATATTTTGTTTTGCTACTGCTATCACTTAAGTCTAATTTTAAGAAGCTCTAGTGGTATAGTGTGTTACATTTTGTGCTGCTAACTGAAAGATTGGTGGTTCCAATTCATCAGTTGCTCCATGGGAGAAAGGTGGGCAGTTACCTCCGTGATATTGATGGTCTTAGAAACCCAATGTTGCCGTGTTGCCCAGGAGTGTTGGCATGAGTCAGAACTGACTTGATAGCAGTGGCTGTTATTTTATGACCTTTTGATATTTGATGTATGTATGACATTGAGCTTGAGAGGTGTCTAACTTACTTGGTCATAGGTAAATACTTTGTAATATAGTTAATATATTTTACAATTTTAAAAGGTTTGTCTTCTGAAAATGAAAAAGAAATGGTTCTTAATCAAGTATCTGTATGATTTATATGTAAATCATATTGTGGTTTATATGTAAAATGGGCATATAAATATATTTACTATTTGAATTTCTAACTGCTTCACAAACTTATTTATATAAATAATTTAAAGGTGATAATATTAAATTTTGTTATTATGTATAGTGATTCTGAAGGTGGAGTAATGAAAAAGAAAGACTCTACACCTTCAGATTCTTCCAATGCTGAATCGAGTTCAATGGAGGAAAGTTCTTCAGGTTCTGATTCAGAGTCAGAATCCGAAAGTGAAGCTGACTCCAGGAAAGTCGTGAAGGTAAAGATAATATGCATTGGTTATAATTGAAGGTAAACATTTCTATATGTTTTTCCCTATTAAGAATAAATAATTCAAAAAATTGGTATTTCATTGAAAGTTGAGACTTAAGAACGATGTGATTAAAATTGGCACTGTCAACTGAAATATACAGTCCCATTTCATTGATTCACACCTGTATGTATGGGGTTTGTTCTCCTGGATAATCACTTGTTTATAAACCAGTCTTAAAGTTTGAAAATATTTTTAAAAGCTTCACTCCTTGTCACTAAAGTAGAGAAGTTCTCAGTGTTTTATGTGCATTACTTTGTTGTTGTTGTTCTTGGCTAGCTTATTCCCAAAAAGCTTGTATTAAAGTAGAATAAAAAGTCATAGAAAGACTTTGAGCAAAGGGATATAAATATGCACATGTCATAAGTTATTGAGGCAAATACACCATCTAAATATACTAGACATTTCAAATAATAGAGTGTTATTAAGGATTTAGTATATGTATATATATTCTTTAACCAATTAATTAGTATTTGTCTTTTCTTCAAAAACAAGTGCATTAAATACTTATATAATCCTTTTTGATAGAACATTTATCACACTAAGGTTTGTCTGCTTAGAAACAAAAAATAAAAATATGTTACAAAATATACTTAATAAAATTCAAACTTAGTAAGCATGATTTTTTTGATCTTTAACTGTCAACTCTCTTGGGCAGTTCTACTCTGTCCTATAGGGTCTCTCTGAATTGGAATTCAGTCTACGTCATCAGGTTTGATTTTAGTTTGGTGTAAATGAAGTGGATTAATGCTAGATTTCAAATTCAGTAGCTCTGTATATTTTATATAGTTTTGTATGTTCCATATATTAAAAATATGATTGAGCTCTTTTATTGAATTTTGTTTCTTTTCAACTGCACTTTTCTTGTTAATTTTTTATTTTGTTCTATTAACTTTAATTTCTTCAGTATGTCATCTAAGTGACCAAGGATGAAAATTAATTTTCTGGAATAGACAATTAGCCTTCCCCATCCAGATATTTGGTATTCAAGAAAAAGTGTATTTTAAAATTGACCTTACTTTCTTAACTTATTTTAAATGTTCTTGTTCTTGTTGTAAAACATATTTTAATCTTGTATTCATGTTTAAATTTTGTGGATATATAGTGTATGAAGTGAATATTGTGAGTTTTATTCATTCAGTCTCATATAAAAATGTATCTAATCAGTTGTGTGTACTCTCATTTAATCCTTATGTCAAATTATAATAGAGCATGACATATTTAAAATAAAGGAGGTTTTAAAAGTGAAATGAATTAAAACTCATGAAATCTGAGATTTTTTGTTTTTAACAACACATAAGGAATAAGTAATTGTTATAAATAAAATTAATTATTCTTTAGGGAAGGGTGGGTAAAAAGATAAAATGGGTTATTCTTACGTGATTTTCTTAAGAACTGTGTTTGTTATATTAGAAACAGAGATTAGGATCCCATTTAAATAACAAGTAGAACCCCAGCTCAGTGATTTAGTTACTTTATTGAAGACTTTTGATGATCTCTTGATAATTCAAAATATGTCATAATATCAGGGCATAAAATTCTAATAACAGTGAGTCAAGAAACTTGAGAAATTTAGCCTTTACTGACATTTTTGAGAGGTTTCCCCCCCGCTTTTGCTTAGACTTACTTTCTCTGTTGAGGGGAAGACCCTCTATGAGATGGGGTAATTCAGTTACTGGGGTAATCGGGATCGGTATGTCAGAGGTAGTGCGATTGGCACAGGATAGAACAGGGTTTAGGGCTGTTGTACATAGGGTTGCTATGAGTCATAAATGACTCGACGGCACATAACAACAAAAACAACATAGATTTGTGTGTGTGTGTGTGTGTGTGTGTGTGTGTGTGTGTGTATATATATATATATATAAATATATATATAACGTTTTATGTAGTAGTTGTTTCTATATATCTATTTAGAAGTCACCACTTTGGAGGAACCATAACTTCTTGCTTTTTATTTTTTTCCTGAATGGTTTGGAACTTACCATGCATCTTGAAATGTGGCAATTTCCTAATAATGGACAACTTTATAATTGTAGAAAAATCTTCCTTGTACCAAGTGTTACAGTTTTTGCTCTGAATTATGAATAATGAAGGCAGATGGTAGATGCTTTACCTTAATTTAGCATGACAGTATGTTAATACTGAAAATTCATATGCCTTAAAATTACAGCCCAATCTATAACTTTTCTTTTTTCTTTTATCTGGACAATGTGCTTGGGGGCAATGAGCATGAAAATGACACCTTGGGTATCTTGAATATATGACTTTCAAAACAGTTAATTTTTATGATGATCCTGTGAAATAGGTGTAGTAGTCTATTTTGGGGGAGATAATATCTTTATGCTTCAGTTTCCTCATCTATAAAGTAGAAGTGCTAATAATACCTTTCCTATTTCTTTCAAGTGTCAATATAAAAAATTCAAATATTAAACCTAAGTGTTAAGCACTATATAAATCTAAAAGCATTTTTTTAAACTTGAGAATTAGTTCTTTGAGAGTGCAGCAGAATGCAGTTTTTTGTTTTTTTTAACATAAGCCTTCCTACATTTTCTTGACTATTTTTATGCCATTCAAGTTTTCACTTACTATTTGGTGCCATTCCCTTATTTGCTACCTGTGATCTCATATTTTTTTCTTCAGGGAAAAAAAAAATAAAGCTCTCCACTGACTGCCCAAGGGAGCTCTGGTGGCTTAGTGTTAAGGAATTGTATTGTCAACTCAAAGGCACATGGTTCAAATCCACCAGCTGCTCCACAGGAGAAAAATGGACAGTCTCTTTCCGTGTATTTTCTTCTTTGAAACCCCCTGGAGGGTCAGCCATGAATCAGTTCTGACTTGATAGCACACAACAGCAACTCACTTCCCAGACTCTTTGCCTTCCTTTTCTTGACCTTTAGCTCTGAGTAAGTTTTTTTTGCTACTTAGCCTAGAATACTCTTAGCTTCTTTGGATTTTATTTTGTTGCTAATTCTACCTCATTTGCACCTTCAATCTTTCTTCCACTAATTCCTTCTCTGCTTGTCAATATCTTTTTAAAGGAAAAGGGAAAAGAGAGGAAAGTGTGTGTGTGTGTGTGTGTGTGTGTGTGTGTGTGTATTCTCTGTCCACTCTCATTTCTTACAGATATTTTCAAAGTCAACTCTCTTCTTTCTCCAACCCAGAGACCTTTTTGTATCACTATTCTGCAGCTACTTAAATATTTTCCACCCCCTTTCTTCTAACTTCTTTGAACTTTTCATTCTTTTGAGTGTTTTACTTTTACCTAAATACCCCCAAGTGTGAACGTTGCTCCTAAAAGATTATTTATTGTACATTTTTTAAAAAATACTAGTTCACCGTAATTAATTTTTCTCTATTCCTCCATTTTCTTTACCTTTTCCCTTTTGTGGGACTTCACTTATTCCTATTGTTTCAGCTAATATCTTTATATAAATTACTTTCCATGGTAACATCTCTAAATCCCTAGAATAAATACAGCTTTTCTTTCTAAATTTAGACTAACTCTTTAGATCTCTCTAAGGCTGATGTTTCTTTAAATCTATAGACTCAGGTGAAGTTGGGCTCCACGTTTTAGTACCACCTGCCTTCTACTTTCCAAAGTCCTTCCATTAGGTAGGTGTAGATTCTGTGTATTATTTTTCTAATCTGTCTCTTTTCCTGTTACCTCCATTCTTGAGGATTTCATCACCTTACACATAGACCGATATTATTGATCATTTTTAGAATCTTCCCCTCCTACAGTCTTTCTATACAACTGCCAGATTTGGGCTAAAGTTACCTGTAATTATGCTCAATTTACTAAACTCAGACTGACAAGCAGAATCTTTCCCCTACTCTTGCTTTCTGATGTCAGTAAACTATTTGTGGTCCTTTTAACAGACTATGTATTTTCCTATTTCTATGCTTTAATTAATTTTGCACCACTTCTCATTAAAGAAAATATGAACTAGAGAGCATGATCCTTCCACTTTTAGTATGACAGGAGAGTGTTTGCAATAAAAAGTGTTACTGATGAAGGATTAGTCATGTGAATGATGTTGGAACAGTCAGAAAGGTCAAAACCATTGCTGAAGTTTGTACTTTCCTGAAATGTTTGCTATTAGACACCATGGACCAGCATATATATACAGGACACAGAACTAAAATAATATGTCCCTGTACCTTGTTATTTTAATTTATAGAGTGGGAGAGCTCCTCGTTAGATTTCCCGTATTATTAATAATAATCATTCTTAATCAAGTCTGTAATGTCTTATTCTTTAGATACTTGTGATCAAGAAGTATACAGATGCTATTTTCCAGAATACATTTGATAAATATTTAAAGGTGATGAATTCATGAACTTCGAACTGAAAGATCAATAGTTCAAAAACCACTAGCTGCTCAGTGGTGAGAAAGGCTTATTGATATGCTCCTTGCAGACCTCAGTGCAGCTGCCACCATGGGGCAGTCCTTCTCCATCCTACAGGTTGCTGTGAGTTGGACTCAGCTTGATGGCATGTATTACAGTAGTCTTTGTTAGGAACTAATGAATTTGCTTCAAATAGTATCAGTAGCAGAATTACTTTTAATAATGCTGTATTTGATGTGCTGTCACATACTTTGCACAGTATGAAAAAAAAGTATACAGGTTTTTCTGTAGAAGAATAGAGGGGGAAATGAGTAATATAGCCCATATTGAATCAGGAAGAGATTCACATTTGTATCACATTATATTATTTTTATATAGTTAACTGATACTCTACTTTTAAAGTTATATGTTGAACACAACAGCTTTACAATAATGTCTCCTTTTTTCAGTTGAAACTATGCTTCAGTACTGTTTTTAAACTAGCCAGTATATTAGAGTGTTCCTGTACACTATGGTTATTTCTGTCATCTCTTTGTTAGTCCAACATTCATATCTTACATGTAAGGTCATATAATTCTTCTGATTACATCTAAATT